GGGCCGGGCCCCACCGGTGCACGCGCCCCGCGCCCGCCGCGGCCACGCCGCAACCGATTCCGTGCTGGGCGCGTGGTGCTCGGTGCCCACACTCCACACGCCGCTGTCAGCGAACCGGCCGCGGGCGCTGCGCTATCGCCGGGGGCCGCGGGCCCGCCAGGGCGGCGTCGGGGACCGCGCTCTTTGTGCGGTGAAAGGCCCGGCCCAGCGGAAGCGGGAGCACCCGCCGCCATTTCCTAGCGCGCTCTCGCCACAGGCTCGCCCGCTCGCTGCCGCCTGACCGGGACTAGGCGCTCTCCGGACAGCGGATCAGGCTCGGAGCCCTAGAACCAGCGCGGAGCCCCACCATGTGTGCGTGCGGGGAAGGGGCAGGGCGCGGGCCGGGGCCGGGGCGGGAGCGGCACCGTGTGTGTGAGGCGGCAGCGTCCGAGACAGAGGAGGCTCGGGGAGGGCCGGGACACAGGCCAGGGGGGCCGCCGGGCGCTCTGAGGGGGTGCGGGTGGCGGCCGTGCTGAGCAGTATCTCAAAGGGTCCGTTCTGGTCTTTGCAGCAACCACAGAAGCAGAGACGGAGCAGAGCCTCACCCCCAATGTGATGCTCAACACGGAGAGTAGTGAGGGATACGTGGTGAAAGTCCGGGGGCTGCCTTGGTCCTGCTCCACCGAGGAAGTGCAGAGGTTCTTCTCKGGTAAGTAGGACTGGGAGAATAAGAGGTGTGGGAGAGGGGCTGGGCTCTGCTCTCTGTTCTGGGTCCCTCCCAGGGCAGTGGGAATGCTGTAGTGAGGAGTTCAGGAAGCATTCAGTAGCCAGTGAAGTATGTAGTGCAACAAGTGCTTCAGCCAAAATCTGGTATGCAAAACCATGCTTGTGCTAGCAGGAACTCAACACRAAGTGGCTTAGTCTGAGAGTTGCTGGGGTAGCCACAACTGCCTTTTCTGCCTGAGCAACCAGGAGAGAGAAGCTTCCATTTTAAAGAGAGTTCAACCTGAAGCAAGAGTTTTGAAGCTAAATCTGCTTAGTTCTTTGTACTGTCCTAACAGACTCTCTTAAGTGTTAAATGTGTGTGTCTTTACCCAAATAATGAGCATTCTGCTGTAATTAGTAGTGGTGATAAATACATGCTTTCTTGCGGTGACTGGAGCTTCTAAAGCWTCAGGAATTTGACTTACTGGACTTGGTTCTGATTTAGTTCATGTCAYTTTCACTGATTGTTACTACTCTTTTTTAATGTCATCCTAATAAAAAAGACCAAAAGCAGACAGTGCATTCAACTTGCAGCAGAAAAAGCTTTGGAAATAGCTTATTTGCAGTTATCCTTAATGTTGCTCTGTAGACTTGATTAGAAGSGTGATTTTAGTTAGTTTGGTAGTTAATTGGTAGTTTTAAAGTTATAACAAGAACGTTGCCAGTTCTGTCTTGATACAATTCATGCTCGTTGCATTTTTCTTTTTAGGCTCTCTGAAACTTATAAAATYACATTGTTCCCATAATAATTAACTTATTTCTGTCCTTCCTATTTCATTTTCAGATTGCAAAATTCTGAATGGGGCTTTGGGTATCCGTTTCATCTACACCAGGGAGGGCAGACCAAGTGGAGAAGCATTTGCTGAACTTGAATCAGAGGAGGATGTGAAGTTGGCCCTGAAAAAAGACAGAGAAACAATGGGACACAGATATGTTGAAGGTTTGACTCAGTTGGTCTAGTAACTGACTACATTGTGTTTGTGCTTGATGGGTTTTTGCTTTTTTTGTCTCTTTAAAATGCATGTGAAAGGACAAATGGACTTGCATATCATAAGCTGAGTAATTTCAAGGCAAATGACATTTAAAACTCCTRCTTATTCCAGAATGCATTAATTCTAAGTGCCTTTCACAGTTTTCAAGTCAAACAACGTTGAAATGGATTGGGTTCTGAAGCATACTGGTCCCAACAGCCCTGATACAGCTAATGATGGTTTTGTACGTCTTAGAGGACTCCCATTTGGCTGTAGTAAAGAAGAAATTGTACAGTTTTTTTCAGGTATGTGGGATAAAATYAGTAGTTATAGCACTATTGGTTTATGCTAAAAAACCCCAACACACCAAACAAGCATCAGTTACCCAGTAATACTTCCAACAGTATTATCATGAGTATTAAAACTAAATAAACTAATTCTTCACTAGTTTTATGGGCTTGAGGAATCCTTTGGATCACTTTCTAAAATACTTGATAGCTAATTAATATAGGAAATGCCAAAAAGCTGTTCAAATTTGTACTTGGTGGGTTGTGCTGTTAAATAAGGATTGTAGAAAAATATCTTGCTTTKCAAATAAAGCTGAACAGTTCATGYGGGAGRATATTTCCATCCYCATGGAATGGGGTTGGCTGTTTGGCCCTGGTCAGTGAAGGATGTAGAACACCCTCACTACTGTGCTCTGTGCAAGCAGCAGGCTCTCAGTAAGGCATTGTGCCCATGATCTCTTCCCAACACAGAGTTAGTATTGAACGAAATTCCAAAGAAAAATGACCTGCTGAATTCAAGGCAATCTGTCCAAAGACAGAATTTCAGATTTGGCCCTTACTATTCCTATGGGGAAAAAAGACCCACCAAACCCTTGGTACAGGCTAGGTCAAAGTTTTTATGGATGAGRAGATAATGTCTTGTTTTGACTAATTTTTATTTTTTTGCAGCTGTTTTTATGTTTTAAAAAGCTGGAGTTAGATTGTTAAAATGTCTAAGAATGAAGTCTGTTGATGGTTTAGGATTTCACTTGTTAYTATTTTCAGAGTATTAGATTTCTAAATGTTTTGCTGTAACAAGATATGRTTGAGCTTACTGTTTTGCTTTAAAATACAGTAGAAACATTTCTTATTTTACAATCTCAGAACTTGTTTTTTGTTTTCTAAATTGGTGATGTGAACACTTTCTAAGCATGTGCATTTTAAGCTGTTTTTTTTTCTTACATATTGAAGTAATTCAAGCTTTATAAGTTGTTAATGTGCTTAATATGCAAAMTGTGTCTCTTCTGTTCAGGAACTAATACTTGAAAAGTACTTCATGATTTTTTTCTTAGTTAAGCTCTCCTAAAGATTTTTTTTTTTAAATCAATGCTGAAACTTGATGTTTGCATAAGATTAATTATTTTACCTGAGTGACTTTTAGTAAAATTACTTGTTCTATATAAACCTGTTTAATGTGCTGTGTTTGAATTTAAGTTCTCTTAAAAAGTTCATCTTAAATACTTTCACAGAATTGACGAGGTTTGTAATAATATGTGAAGTTCTTAACACACCCTGCATTAGATGCCTTCTCTGAGGGGTTGTCCCTGACCCTCAGAGCATTTCTGAGCTCTGCAGGCTGGGTTAAGAACCTGAAATGAATGGTATGTGATCATGGAGCTCTTTGTTGATATGCCTTTTTTTATTCTGGTGTTCTTGAATCAACATACCATTCACTTAAACGTGTTTAAATTCTGGTGTTTTTAAAGCTATAAGAAAAAACTCATGACTGGGCTTGTGATGTTAATATTGCCCCCCTACTGGGGTTATTTGTCCTTGGGTTGAAGGGTTGGAAATCGTGCCAAATGGGATAACATTGCCGGTGGACTTCCAGGGGAGGAGTACGGGGGAGGCCTTCGTGCAGTTTGCTTCACAGGAAATAGCTGAAAAGGCTCTAAAGAAACACAAGGAAAGAATAGGGCACAGGTGGGGATGGATGGTTGGTTGGCTCTGTCACTTTTCTTATGGTAAACAATTAAATCCATATTCTCTCTTCTGAWAGTGTTAACATCCAAATTGCRATAAGTTTTTGGTCTCTAACTCAGTGATGAGTAAAGGAATTGATTGCTACAGTGAATGTGGCACAGACTGTTTGGATCTACCCAAAAATACAAGCTAAAATTGGACTAAACTAAAATGTGCTTTGGAAAATGAATARTAACAGGCATGCAAAACTATAGCTTGGAAATGACAAAGTTGAGAGACTATGGCTTTAACTTCTCAAATAGCACCAATTCTGCCTTTAGCTCTAAAGACATGCACAGTATTCTTACTACCATAAGAAAATGTGATACTTTCTAAACTTGTTTTATAAGTTGAAATGTAACAAATTTACTTACTTGTATTAATCTTCAATGTAATAAGCATAGCTTTCAAGAAATTGTCACAAAGGGTTTTTATTCAATTTTACTTGTGACTATTTTTCATTGAAGCATGCACCTTTTGCCTACGCTGAATCACTGAAGCATAGGCTGGGTTCAGTAGAACATGCAGAGCTTTTTGTGGCATCCTGATGGGTTAAATTCTCGGTGGAGATCGGGTTTTTAACCCTCTGTTTCCGTTGCCTTGAGCAACAGTGCTGAGTTGAGTGGACATCAGTCCCTCCTACATTTTTTGACTAACACCTTAAATTGGGGGGAGGTGGGTGGGGAATCTGTATTGCTCCCCCACCCTTAAGGCTGGGATACTGCACAGTATGAGGAGCACATAAACCCTTCAGTAATWTTAATTTCTTGAAAATACACTGATTTAAATGTAATGTAGTACTTATAATAAAATGTCATTGCCTACATAATGTAAGGAAACCTGGCTTAAAATTACTGCCAGTGTSAAGGCTATGACTAAATGGCTTGTTGTAATGTGAAGTTGTGAGGTGTTTGTGGAAGGAATCAAAGACTGACTTCTCCCTGTGCAAACACTTGTAGGTACATTGAGATCTTCAAGAGTAGTCGAGCAGAGGTGCGCACTCACTACGACCCTCCCCGCAAGCTGTTGGCAATGCAGAGACCTGGTCCGTACGACAGGCCCGGCCTGACGCGCGGATACAACAGTCTGGGTAGAGGAAGTAGCTTGGAGAGAATGAGGCGTGGAGCCTACGGAGGAGGTAAGTGCACAGAGGCCGAGGGAGCTGCTCACTTGAGAAGCAGCAACTCTTGGACCTGGGAGTGTCTGCCAGCTGTGTGTGTCCTTGGCCTTAATTMTTGTAGAAGAAATGAAATGTTGTAGTAGTCGTTGTTTGCAGTGTGTACTGTGTATTTGGATCTTTCTGTAGTCGAAATGAAAGTTTATTTGAAACTTTGTGTAGTTGAAATGAACATGTCCAATCTGTTTCTAGGTTATGGAGGTTATGATGACTACAATGGGTATAATGATGGCTATGGGTTTGGTTCTGATAGATTTGGAAGAGGTAAGAGATCTCTAATAGGAACAGTAACTGAACTTACGACATGTCCCAAAAGAAACTCAAATACATCTGAAAGACCTAGAATGGACTCTTTTCTCCGCAGGGATGTCGGACCACAGGTACGGCGACGGATCGTCCACCTTCCAGAGCACAACCGGCCACTGYGTCCACATGCGAGGTCTGCCCTACAGAGCCACAGAGAATGACATCTACAACGTGAGTGCCACATGCTGCTCCCCACTGCATGGCTTTGGGTCCCAGGGTCTTTGTGGGACGTGCCAGCTGCTCTGCAGTTGGAGTGTTCCTCTAGAGAGAATGGTTTGTTGTAAACCCGTACTGTTGCATTGGTGCGTTTTAATCTCTGTGACTGTTCCATGTGTAGTTCTTCTCACCTCTGAACCCTGTAAGAGTACACATTGAGATTGGACCAGATGGCAGAGTAACTGGAGAGGCAGATGTTGAATTTGCTACTCACGAGGACGCAGTGGCCGCCATGTCCAAAGACAAAGCAAACATGCGTAAGTCCGACTGCTCGGAATAGGTAGCTTTAGGGAGCTTATGGCACTGCAGTGTAGTGCATCTGCTGCAACTGGAATGCCAGAGATGTTACTGCAGCTTCACTTTCAAGTGAAGTGAGACAAGCAACACGGTGTGAAATGTTCTCATGGGAAAACTTTTTTCTTCCAGAACACAGATAYGTAGAACTCTTCCTGAATTCTACAGCAGGAGGGACTGGTGGTGCCTATGGCAGTCAGATGATGGCAGGAATGGGTATGTGTAACAGTCTCACTGTACTTCCAAACAAGTGCTTGCTGTTGAAGGAAGCTGGCTCATTTTATACAGCTCCTGCTCATTGTGTGCCTAGCATCAAAATTGAAATTCAACATTCTGTCTTAATCACACAGTCAAGGAGTCGGAAGGGGTAGTCCAAGATTGGAACACTAGCACATTGCCAGGTACATAAACCTTTTCAGAATACATTTGAGCTTTAAYAGGTTGAATAAACTCGCGGTGCTGAGTGTGGTGTGCCTGGTGGGATGAGTGGTTTCTTGGGAGTGTGGTAGTGTAAAATCTGGGAGATACCTGTCCTTTTTATTCTCCTTCCCCTTCCCTTTTGGGGCTACCAGAACATAGTTTGGTGGTGGAGGATGTATCTGTGGCACTGACCTGCCTTTCAAGCTGGTCTTTCGTAGTGAGGGAGAAGTATTTGGAATTGGGAGAAATTGTCTGAATTGCTCTAGCAAACTGTGAAATAGTTTAAAAATCTAAAATGTGTATTTGCAGCACAAGTCTTAAATGCCTGTTGCTGTAGTGCCTATAAGACAGATACCCTCCTGACACCCAGCTGGGCTGGTTTCAGAGATGAAGGTGGGGGTTGGTTTCTGGGGGGCTCTTTCTTGAGGGTGCTGGGGTGGGGAGATGTGGATACACTGCTGCTTTTATAATACTTTATTACAAAACGTTTGAAGTTTTAATTATACTGAAGCTACAGAAGTGTAGACAAATTCTGAGGTAAAGAGCAGTTGTTAATTTAAACAGAGGTGTTTGTCTGCTGAGCCATAGCACTGCTATGATGTGATGCACAGTTGGGAACAGGAATAAATCTGTCAAGGCCARTGTACAAATGAGTGACTCCAGTTAATGAGCTGCTGTGCTTCTGGAAGGGCAGCACTCCTGTGTGAGRTCACTTAAAGCCAAGTTTAARTCATTTGGGGGTRTGTTACAGTGCAGATCAGTCCTGTTTAGTATAGTCCATAGAAACTGTAAAAGTAACTTCTAAAGTTTTTGTTGCTGCTTAATTGCAGGGATGTCTTTAGAAACCCCATCACATTCCTTGAGCATGTTAAACTTCCCTTGGTGTGAGCAAGGTAGTGCCAGAGTGCAGGGGCTGTTGGTTGGGTGAGGGGTGGGTTTGTTGATAATGAGCAGGTTTTGACTGGCAAGTTCTTAACGTTTTTACCCTTAACTTAAAAGGGAGCCAATCCAGTTAYGGTGCTCCAGGCAGCCAGCAGCTGAGTGGGGGTTATGGAGGAGGATACGGAGGTCAAAGCAGCATGAGTGGCTATGGTAAGAGCATTTCTTTGCTGGTTTCCTTTGGGCCAGGTGCAGCTGGCTTAACATGCCCTTCACTGGTGTTGAGGGGTTGTGTTACAGCCTGGCCAGCACAGGCCCTGAAACTTGAAAATGTGGCTRTTGTGAATTTTACAAATAACATGGGGGAGGGAATCGATTCAAAGCAGAAATGGGGTGCTGAGGGGGGCAATGTGGAAAACTRTTCTGAAATGGGCAGGAAATGCCAGTCTCCAGACTTGCATTGCTCTGATCACTTCTTTTCTTAATCTGGAGACAAGCTTTGTTTAAACAATACAATTGGGGGAGGGGGTCATGGGAGGCTGGGTCCTCCCTATTCCCCCAGAGCAGTGGTAAAGCTCTGGATTGGGAACGGGGTGATGCAGAGCTCGTGCTGTCATTGAACATCCGATAACTGACTTTGGGTACGGAGCTGTAAACTGACACTTTGCAGCGTTGGGCACGGTAGACGGTATTTACGAGGTGGCCCAGCAAGGACAGGCGTTGGGGCAAGGATGCTTCGAGTCGGCCTGAGGCAGCTGTGAACCTGCTGTCGGTTTCCCCCTCAGACCCCGGGAGCCAGGGCGCCATGAACAGCAGCTACTACAGCAGTGGGAACCGCGCATCCATGGGAGTGAACGGCATGGGCGGCATGTCCAACATGTCCAACATGAGTGGTGGCTGGGGAATGTAACCAATCGCTGACTTTTGGTCACATCTTTTTTAAAAAACAAAAAAAACAAAAAACTAAGTTTAACAGTTTTGCAATACAAGCTTGTGATTTATGCTTTACTGTAAGTGAATTCAGGATTGTTTTAAAACCTTGCAGGTTCAGTATTTTTGAACATACAGAAATGAACATTCATCTAGGATGTAATAACCAAGTAAAGACTATAACTGTTAAACGATTTGGAGCGTTTCTCAAGTTAGTTTTGTTGTAGGAGTGTATTTAAGCAGTAAGCGTATTTAGGTTAAAGCTGTTTGAATTATGTTAAATGTTGCTCTTATACCATATTACATCCAACACTGTTTTGAATACATGTTGAAAGAGACATGCTTTTTTTGTAAAGAACCAATATAGGAGCTGTGTCTGAAAATCAAAGTGAACATTTGGCATGTTAGTTCTAGTTTATTTCTTTTAATACCCTGTAAGGCATGTTAAAGCTTTTTTTTTTTAAGTTAATGGGGGAAACATGTTGAGACGCAATACGGCTACTTTAGGATTTTGGTCTTGGTGTTCGTATAAAATTCTGAGGCCTTGATTTAATCTTTCATTGTATTGTGATTTCCTTTTTAGGTGTATTGCGCTAAGTGAAACTTGTTAAATAAATCTTCCTTTTAAAAACTGGAACTCACTCCTTCTTGACCTCCTTGAAGCTTCTTGTAACTATACCTGCACCCGTGTCCTCTGTGACTTTGTGCTCTTGCCGTGTAGCTGCCATGCAGTGACTCCTCACTGAGCGCTGCCCTATAGAGTGTTACAGTGACAATTTGGGGGGGGGAGCAAAGGAAACCATCCCTGCTGCTCAGGGTGCCCAGTGTGTGTTGTTCAAAGTGCTGCATGGCTGGGCCYTGAGCAGGGGCTCTGGGCCCTATGACTGCTGGTGGGGGTAGAGGTGATTCTGTACTTTCCTGTGGGCATCAGTGGACACGGCAGCTTACTGCAACCATGTTTCAATAAAAAGGACTTGTCAATCATCCTGCTTAAAGATGTGGTTTTGTAAGCAATTTACAGCTTTTGAACACTGCAACTTCCTCTGTCATAGGGAATCTGCTTCCATGTATTGGCTTTCATGGCTCTTCCATGTACTTTTATTTGCCCTTGATAATGAGGCATTACTCCTGAAGGGTTAGCAACTTGTGGTCCCTTTCTATAATGATGAGAACCACCTCCTGTCATAGCAGCGGAGCTGCAAGGGTGGAATTGTGAGCACTGGCTCCTGCAGCCGTGGCTGTCTGCCATGCAGCCAGTGTGTTTCCTGAGGGGAATGCTGACTGAGCCCAATCCATGGACTCTGGCCCTGCTGTGCATCTGTCAGAGCTGGGGCCATTAGAGCAGCCTTGGGGCAGTGGGGATCACCACTGCTGTTGTGCATGGAGCCTTTGGAAGAAGCTCCCCTTCCTTGTCAAAGAGCTGCTCTGTGCTACTCATGGGCTGGGTGGGTGCTGCTGGGGACAGTGCTGCCTTCACCCTGCTGCTGGGGTGAGGTGACAGCCCTGTGTGCTGACACACAAAACTGCTCTGGGAACCCCGGTGCAGTCGAGTTCAAGCCTGGCAGGTGCCCATAAGCACCCCTGGGGCTGGGGCAGCATCTGCTCTGCCCTGTCCTAGGCTGGACACAGTGAGCTGGAATCACTGCCCTTATTTTCCTGGAAAAGGATGAAAGTAGTTCCAGCTGCTAAGCAGTGGCTTGATCTGGCACCTTCCAGGAGAAATCAGTTTTGTCAGGTATCCTGGACACATTCTGGTATCTTTRGCTTAAACCCTGGATGTGCATGGCTGGGCATTCTCTTCTGGGATCTCTGAATGACAGATGCTAAAAATTAGAACTTCACTTGCTTTCAGTTTTTGCAAAAGGCTTTATTGTGTAACTACTGCACTGTGGTCACAGCGACTTCCAGAACAAGGATAATGTGCAGGTTTTGACTCCGCAGTGARCTGAAGGCACGTTCATTGACACTCCTTATAAAGCTCTTTCTATACAGACCATTCATAAATTGACCTTTTCCTCTCTGACCTAGAGCAAATACAAAACTGTACACGAGCCAGGAAACATGGGAGCACCTATGGTGAAGGTAAAGAAGTTCATATACAGAGAGACAATGACATCTACAGGGATCAAATAAATGTAAAAATGCCATATACAAATTTTAATACAAATATCTATAAAAATCAGAAAAATGAATCTTAATTTCAAATAGAACTTTTGGGGAAATTACAGTTAATATAAGCTTCTTAATTATTCCAGCTGGAGAAACATTAACTTGCACAATCCCTACAAATTATTTTACACTGCTCTGACTTATAGTGTAAATTATCAGAGACCAGTCAGTCTAGTCTGCTGCACAGAGGACACCTGTGATTCAGAATTAAAAAAATAATGGCTACTTTCCAAGGTTAAAGTGGCTCTGTCACCGGGGGAGAGCCTTAGGAGGAGTTAGAGCACTGCTGGAGCAATAACGTGTGACAACTATCACAGACACGGACGGGTTTTGGGTATGATGGCAGCGCGAGTTCGTTACTGGAACAACTGTTGCAGAAGATGTCCCCGCAGTTTCTGCAGTGGTGCTACAAAAACAGAGTCAGAATGAGCACAGCTGCCTAAGAACAGCACCAGGAACAGAGAAGGGAGACCKTGGCAACTCTTCCGAGTCCACTGACTCCCTCCACTCCCCAAGCCCAGCCCTCCCAGCGTTTCCTCCTGCGCAGGGCGGAGCACAGGGCGCGATGCCAGYGCAGCCGCCGTCCCTCCGCGGCCGGGAGCTGCCCCCGCCCAGGCTCGGAGCGSACCCGGCCCCGCCCAGGGCAGCCCGCCCGGCCCGGCTCCACGCCGCTGCTGAGCAGGCAGTGAGCATGGCCTGCTCAGCCAGGAAGAGAGCCTAAACACAGCCACAGCAGCTCCCCACCAACGAAAGCACATAATGGGGGGAGTATGGTTTTTTGGGTGGTAAATGCCTAATTATTCCCTATGTATTTATCATGCCAGCAAGATTCGGAATTGAACAGGTTCAATCTTCCCTAGCRAAGTATGCAACAGCACCACTTCTGTTTTCCATGGATTATTTAAAAATAATCCATTGAACAACATTACCTTCCTTCTTGAGATGGAGAATTCCTTTGTACATTGCTTGCAGTGTGTTGCTTCATCATCCTTCAGCCATGTGTGACCCTGGAAAATTGGAGTGAAAACCACACTAGAGATACAAATAAAGGCATTTTACCGACGTTGTTGGTATTTTTCAAAAGCCATCTTTTAAAGCAGAATAACCAGGGTGAAATTTGAAGGTGTTAAATGAAATTTGTAGATTTTGTAAAAACATCTCTCAGATGTAGAGTACCTTTAGTGCTTTATTTACTTCTTTAATATCTTCCATCTTCATCTTCGATCTGGAAAAAAAAAAAATTATGCCCTGCATGACTTTTTATTTAGTTGTGTTTGGTTTTCCCTGCTATTCCATTGTCCAGGCACTGAACCCCAGCCCCAGTTCTTCAGTCAGCTCCCTGTTACCCTTCTGAACTATTCACTATCACTGGAAAACTCTGTCACCTCGGGGTTTGCCCCTTTCTCAGGATAAACAGAAGAATGTAGGAAAAGCACAGTTCTACTATAAAAACTAAACATATCCTTTTAATGTTTCCTCTCAGCCAGCTCACTCTTACAAGATTCTCCCTCATGTTCATTTCATGGCTCTTTAGTTTCCCATACATAGTAATTGCCTGCTAAAATTCTCATATCAATTGATTTTTATAAGTGAATGAGGTTTAAAATTCTTGGTATTAGTCTAGTCTGATACTTTAGCTTATGTCACTTACAGGAGTTCTGTTTTCTGGAACTTACTGGCTGAGATGAAGTCCCATTTCCTGAAGAGCTTGTTCCTGCTCCTCACTGACTTTCTTCAGCTCCTGCTTCTCATCTTGCAGTTTTCTCAGTTCCTGTAAAATCAAGCATAAAATCAAGTCTTTTGTGCACTGTTTGACCTATAACCTTGATTGGTCTACCCAAACTACCCAAGCAAATCCCCCTATTTCTAAGGCTTGATTTTTACAATTAAATGTGGGAGCTACCCATGGATTCTGCACAATGAAACCAYATAACCATATTAACCAAAAAGAGTAAGATTTTCAGGCTTTGAACATCCTTGAACATAGCTAGAATGGCAGTCCTGTGCCCACACAGGAGCACACAGACAGATACAGGTGCACAATGGTGTCCTCAGAAACTCGGAAGCAAATCCTCTTCAAGTTAACAAGAATGTTCATACTTTTCTGAATGCTTGAAACTGTGCATACCTTTTTCAGTCCTTCCATCTGTTGCAATTCTGTTTTAAGCAGAGTGGTTGCATCCTTCTCTTGGTGAAGTTCTTTTTGCAAAGTTTGTCTCTGTTCCTTTTCGGATTTTAACTCCTTTTCCAGAGTTGCACTATTTAAAAATAATTCATTCTAAAAAAAACCCTATAGCAGAAAAATATCCTATAGCACTTAAGGATAGCAACAGTGTGAGAAGTAGAAATSTTGTCCAAAAGTGTGCAAAACTAGAGTGGTGTTCTGGGAAAGGAAAGAACAAGCAGCAGACGTCAAAAATGTTAACACTGTCAACATTTAACATATGTTAACRTTTTCAGGTCACAGAAAACACCCAGCAATGAAGGGCTAGAAGAAAAGCAACCAACAAAAGACTCCCAAAGATACCAATCCCCAGGAGTAAAAATGTCACTACCTATGTGTAAACTGTTGTGTTCGAAAGGGACACTGTACCCTGAAGTCTGAACAGTGAAAGAAACCTTTTCTATTGGTATTARAAATCTTTAGAGGATTAGCATTCCCTAAGAACACACCCACAARTCCCTTCAAAAATCCCAGTCCCTTTGGATGACAGTCAGTTTTATGCTCAGCCTACAAGCATGATCATACCTATCTCCTGATTTATTAAAAAAAGCAATTGAAAGCTCCATGGCTAGTTGGAATGGGCAGATTTTTGCTACTAGTCTGTGCTCTAAATTGGACATTCTCTAAAAACATGTCAAAATTGTCATGCTAACTGTGCATTGTACAGAAGTGCTGTGCTTCCCTACAGCCTGCATACTTCTGTCAATATTGAARCCAACAGAATTCAAACCCACCCCTCCTCAGACCTGAGCATAAAAGGAGTAGAAAACACTTCTTAAAGAAATGGCAAAGGAAAAGGAAACACCTGCTCAGATTAAATACCATTTGCTGTCCAGCTGGGCCATCTGCTGCCGACATGAATCGAGCCTCCCAGCCAGCTCCTGCTTCATCTTATTGCACCGTTCCTCTGCCTCTTGCCTGGCCTTCTCTGCCTGCTGCAGCCTAAACAGGAAGGAACAAGGATATTTGTTTCCAATTCACTCCTTCCCTGCACCCTCTCATCCTCTTCTTTTAGGTTTATCACACAGATCTTTATAAGAAGTTTGAACTGAAAATGCTAGTGGAGAAAAAAAAAAGAACTTTTGAAAGAAACCCAAACCCAAAGTCACACCTGTTCTTAATGTGAAGTTAACAAGTTTTTCAACAGCCTGCTTATGCAAAGAGCTATGGTTTTTCAGTGGGTCAGTTATGGGCATGTTTGCCAGGGAAAAGACAAGAGCAAGCACAGAGGGATGAAAAGGAGAAAAT